AGTTTTCCAAAATTTCGATGAAACTGAAACAAATTTCGATCAAGTCAATGGTAGTGATACATCCTCATGATCGTCTCTCATACATACATGCATAAATACACAAATAATAATATGTTAGAAACGACAAAGCGTCATAAAATTATAAACAATAACAATATAAAGAAATATGAACTAAAAACGAAATTACAGGTTTGGCGGAATGAATATTTTGATTAGTGGAATAGCATGATCATATATATATAGTGAAGTAGACCGTGCTGGTTTAGGGTTTTCAAGAGGAATATTCTGTTTATCTTGCTTTAAATTTTTTTAATTATTTACCTTTTAAGAAAATTTTATAATTAATTATTTTTGTAAACTTGTCGAAGAATTTTTAATACTCAAATCATAAAGATATTTATGAGACTATCTTTCTATTGTATATTCATTACTTTTATATATTTATTGTTACGATCTATTTTAAGTAATCTATATTTATGTCAATGAATAAAAATTAATTATTTGCTAAACTGATTCGAAATTGATTTTCAAATTATTATTCTTTCCAAAATCTTAACTAAAGATTTGAGCATTAAACGTTTTTAAAATGTATTTATAGTAAGTGATTAATTTTTCCTAAAATTTCGATAACAGTTGTATAAAATTCAGTTAGTTGTTTAGGCAAATAATTAATGGATTAAGATCAACGTGATTATTGCTAATTGACCCGTTAAAAAGGAATGTTAGTGTTTTATGTAAAGTTGATACGAAAAGATTTATCAAAGCCATATTGACGAATTTAATCCAACCACTCTTTCTTTGAATTGTGATTTTGTATTGTTTTTAGTTTGGATTTTAATCCAACCACTCTTTTTTTGAATTGTTAGAGCCATATTGACGAATTTAAAAGACTGTATAGTAGAATTTAAAGGAACAATAGATGAGATAAGATATGTGATATTAATTAGTTTAGATTGTGAATATATTCGAAATCAATTAGAGAATAAACTTATTAAGTTACGATTAATGTGGCAATTAGTTTAGGTAATAATAACAAACTGAATTCTGCGAATTAATATTGCGCCAATATGAGATTGTTTTTATTACAAATTTTCTTAAATCTCTTATCCAGGATCCGAACAAATTAAAACCGGGTCAAAACCCGGATCAAAACCCGGATCCAAATGAATTAAAGCAAAAAAGTACTGCTAAAATATATATGTAGATGTAACGTCTATTCACCGATCTCCGTATATGCTAATATTAATTTCCTTGTCGTATAGAAACAATAATGCATGATCCACGAACAACCCATTACCATCTAAATCCTTAAATAAAAAAAGTTAAATTTTGTTTCTGCACATTAATAAATAAAATATTGAAATTTTGTTTGGAAGCAATGAGGAATCTTTCAATCGTTGACAATGGAGTGCGGGAAGCCAACTTTGCAATATCATGAAAGCCCTGGACGACCACAAACAAATTAGAGAGTTGCTTTTTTCCACCAAATTACGGAGTCGGAAATAATGACCGAGAGTGAGCAAATCGTCTACATCAGCTGCGTAAAACAGGTACGATACTCCTTCGTCAGCCACCTCTCCGAAGCTCTCCGCCGGAAAGGCATAATCGATGTGTTCATCGATACCGACGATTTTCTTTCCAACGAGTCTCAATCAAAGGTCGAGAGAGCTAGGGTTTCTGTGGTGGTTTTATCTGGGAACTCTACAGTTTGCCTTGACAAGCTCGTGAATGTTCTCGGGTGCCAGAGGAACATCGACCAGGTGGTGGTTCCAGTGTTGTACGGTGAGATTCCATTACAGGTCGAATGGGATAAGGCTCTGAATTCGAGGGGCTTATCATCAGTCCACCAGTCCAGGTATTCACGTTTTTTTCTATCTTCTTTTTGACAAGAGAACAAATTTTGCTATCTTCAATTTTGCTTATATTTTTCTATTTACATTATATAAAGCAAAATATTGGGTAAAGTGGGTGAAAGATCCTAGGACGATTCTCTGCTTGGTTCAGTATATCCCCCAAATTACTCACACATCAATCCTTCTTCACACAGAAATAATACTTTATATCTTAAGACTTAAACCTTCACGTATCCAGTTTTGGACGTAATCTGGTGTAGTAATTAGTAAAATTCAAGGATAAAGTTTATAGATAGAAATTTTATTATAGAGACTGCAAGAGATCTTGCCACTGCAATTTTTTTGGTAGGCTAGTGTAGTGTTCCTATTAGTAAAAATTAGATAGTTTTTTAACTTGAGAAAATATGGCGCAGGAATAAATGCACCGACTCCGAACTTGTAGAAGAGATTACGAGAGATGTATATGAGAAGCTCTTCTATATGGAAGGAATTGGAATCTACTCGAAACGGCTGGAGATAGAAAACATAGTTTGCAAGCAACCATTTGGCGTCCGCTGTGTTGGAATTTGGGGTATGCCTGGAATAGGCAAGACGACACTTGCTAAAGCAGTCTTTGACCAAATGTCTGGCGAATTTGATGCTTCTTGTTTTATCGAAGACTTTGACAAAGTTATTCACGAGAAGGGTGTTTATCGTTTGTTGGAGGAACACTTTTTAAAAGAGAAGCCTGGTACTGACAGTACCATTACGAAACTGAGCTTGCTTAGCAATAAATTAAACAATAAGAGGGTTCTTGTTGTTCTTGATGACCTGCGCAATCCTTTGATTGCAGAGCCTTTACTGGGAGGGTTTCACTGGTTTGGTCCGGAAAGCCTGATCATCATAACCTCTAGAGATAAACAGGTGCTTCGTCTTTGCCGAGTCAATCAAATATATGAGGTGCAGGGTTTAAACAAAAAAGAGGCTCTTCAACTCTTCTTGCGGTCTGCGTCTATTAAGAATAAGGGAGAGCAGAATCTCAAGGAGCTGTCAATGAAGGTGATTGAATATGCAAATGGAAACCCATTAGCTCTCAGTATTTATGGCAGAGAGCTTAAAGGTAAGAAACACTTATCAGAAATGGAGACCACATTCCTCAAACTCAAGGGACATCCTCCCTTTAAGATTGTTGATGCATTCAAGAGCAGCTATGAATCACTCAATGACAGGGAAAAAAACATATTTCTCGACATAGCTTGTTTTTTCGAGGGAGAAAATGTCGACTACGTGATGCAACTGCTCGAGGGCTGTGGTTTCCTTCCACATGTTGGAATTGATGTTCTTGTTGAGAAGTGTCTGGTTACTATTTCAGAAAACCGTGTGTGGATGCATAATTTGATTCAGGACGTTGGCCGAGAAATAATAAATAAAGAAACAGTACAGATCGAGAGGCGCAGCAGACTGTGGAAACCTGGGAACATCAAATATTTATTAGAAGATAACAGAGGAAAAGAAGAAAATGGAGACCCCAAAACAACTTCCAAACGTGCTAAGGTCCATTATATTTTTGTAGCTTCATTTCATATTTAATCTACTGTATGAGCCAGCGTCCTAATGAATACACTTCCAATATTCTTTCAGGGCCTGGAACAGATCGAAGGCATATTTCTTGACACATCAAACATAAGTTTTGATGCCGAGCCTTCTGCCTTTGAGAATATGTTGAACCTTAGATTGCTTAAGATTTACTGTTCCAATCCTGAAATCTATCCTGTAATCAATTTCCCTAATGGCTCTCTCCGTTATCTTCCTAACGAGCTGAGACTCCTTCATTGGGAGAACTATCCCCTGCAATCTTTGCCTCAAAATTTTGATCCTAAGCACCTTGTTGAAATCAACATGCCCAACAGTCAACTTCAGAAACTTTGGGGTAAAACCAAGGTAAGCAAACTCTGATATGCCTCTTTATCCTTGTCAAGACTTGATAGATTGTTTATATTCCTTTGGAATTATTTTTTCTCAGAACCTGGAGATGTTGAAGACAGTTAGACTGTGTCATTCCCAGCAACTAGTTGATATCAGCGATCTTTGGGAAGCTCCACATCTTGAGGTAATTGATCTCCAGGGTTGTACAAGGCTTCAGAGTTTCCCAAACACAGGTCAATTCCTGCATCTACGAGTTTTAAATCTCTCGCATTGCATAGAGATAAAAAAAATTCCGGAGGTTCCACCAAATATTAAGAAATTGCATCTCCAGGGAACTGGCATAATAGCATTACCACTTTCCACTACTTTTGAGCCAAACCACACAAAGCTTTTAAATTTTCTAACAGAAAATCCAGGTCTTTCAGATGCCTTGAAACTTGAGCGTTTGAGAAGTCTTCTGATATCTAGCTCATATTGTCAAGTTCTTGGCAAGCTTATTCGCTTGGATCTGAAAGATTGTTCTCGTTTACAAAGTCTTCCTAACATGGTTAATTTAGAATTTCTTGAAGTTCTTGAACTATCTGGCTGCTCAAAGCTTGAGACTATTCAGGGTTTCCCACCAAACCTGAAAGAGTTATATATTGCTCGCACTGCGGTAAGACAAGTGCCACAACTTCCTCAAAGTCTAGAACTCTTTAATGCACATGGCTGTCTCTCTCTCGAATTAATTTGTTTGGACTCTTCGAAGCTTCTTATGCACTACACATTCAGTAATTGTTTTAATCTATCTCCCCAAGTGATCAACGATTTTTTAGTGAAAGTGCTGGCTAATGCGCAACACATACCAAGAGAGCGTCAGCAGGTAATATTCTATCCTTGTCTCTCTCTCTCTCTCTCTCTCTCTTATCTTCATATCTATGCCTGATATGTACACTCAGACACGTTCTTCTCATATCATATCTGACTTACTTTTGTATTTTTGCAACAGGAACTCAATGAATCTCCGGCTTTCAGCTTCTGTGTGCCCTCACATGGGAATCAGTATTCCAAACTTGATCTGCAACCAGGATTTTCTGTAATGACACGACTAAATCCTTCTTGGAGGAACACGCTTGTAGGCTTTGCTATGCTGGTGGAAGTCGCATTTTCGGAGGATTACTGTGATACAACTGGTTTCGGCATTAGTTGTGTTTGCAGATGGAAAAACAAGGAAGGCCACTCTCATAGGATAGAAAGAAATCTGCATTGTTGGGCTCTAGGGAAAGCTGTTCAAAAGGATCATATGTTTGTCTTCTGTGATGTCAACATGCGTCCAAGTACTAATGAAGGAAATGACCCCAATATCTGGGCTGATTTAGTTGTTTTTGAGTTCTTTCCTATCAACAAACAGAAAAAGCCTCTAGATGATTGTTGCACAGTGAAAAGATGCGGAGTCCGTGTAATAACTGCTGCAACTGGTAGTACAAGCCTTGAGAACATTTTACCAGTTTTGTCCTCTAATCCGATGAAGTTTTCTGGTAATGAAGAAGTGTGGAGAGTCAACTATGATGGTTTACAGGAAATAGATAAAGCTTTATTTCTTTACATAGCAGGTTTGTTCAATGATGAGGATGTTGGTTTGGTGGCACCACTTATTGCTAACATTATTGACATGGACGTTAGTTATGGGCTCAAGGTCTTAGCCGATAGGTCTCTCATAAGTGTATCTTCCAACGGGGAAATAGTGATGCATTATTTGCTGCGACAAATGGGTAAAGAAATCCTCCATTGTAGCTCATATAAGGTTATGAGATTGGTCAAAAGTAGTAAGAGTTCCACGACTAATGCAAGGAATCTTGAGCCAACAAAGTAAGTTCTCTCTGTTTTAGTTCAATATATAACTAATTATATATACACTCCGTTAGACTTGACTTTGTGTTTTCTCTTCATTGGGATAATTCATAATTCAATTGATAAACATAACTTTTTTACAAAAAAACAAAATAAACAAAAGAGAATTGAATTTTTTTATAAATCATACATATAAAAGTAGGGTTTCACTCTCCCATGATTGGTCCACTTGGCAATTATTTTAAAAACTAAAATTAAAAATAATAATATTTATCTCCAATTAAAGTATAAATACAAGATATTTAATCATACACATTAATCTACTTTTAAGTACTAAATTGTAACTGAAATTATAATTATAACTGAAATTATATAAATTATGTATTAAATATTTCTCTCCACCCAATCTCATTCAACAACACTATTAATTTTAATTGTAACCCCCTAATTAAATTATTTTCTAAATGTAACTTCCATCATCTCATCCTATAAATAATCATTCTTTCATCCTCATCTACCATATCTCAAATCATAAGTATTTTTCTACTTTTTTTTTTTCAATCTTATGTTGTTGCATTGGTTGAAAAATCAGTTGAGAAATCATTATAAGAGTTTGCTTCTAAATTTTATCTCTAGATATGGTATGTATTTTACATTTTTTCCAATTTTATTTTAATTCTAATGTGTTACTAGAATATTCTTTAATTTCATATTTTTAATTCAAAAATATTATGTATAATAAATTTTTTGATGCTTATAACAAAAAATTCATATTTATCGATGGAGATTCAAAAAGAGCAATTCAATCAATAGCACAACAAAGAGATCAAGTTGAAAAAATCTATCTCCAATATCTACGTTAGACATTTAGTTATTTTTTTACATATTCATGTATCTTTAAACTGAAATAATTATTGTAATACATTTATCAAAGAAATTATACCTACTTTTTTGTTTTTTATCGCAATAATTGTTTTCTAATATTTTTAATATACTCATCACCATTATGTTTAGTTTGTTAATCTAATAGACAATTATATACAATATTATTATATTTATTTTATTCAATTTTTGTACTTTTTTGTTTTTATCTCAATAATTGTTTTGTATAAGTGAATTTATCTAAACATTTTGCAATTTTTGAATTTACATATATCTTTTGTATAAGTGAGTTTATCTAAAGACTTTATAATTTATTGTTTTAAAAATAACAATTAAAATACGATAGATGCGGTAAAAAAGTTTTGTATAAGTGAATTTATCTAAACGTTTTGTAATTTTTGAATTTACATATAATTTTTGAATTTACATATAATTTTTGAATTTACATATATCTTTTGTATAAGTGAGTTTATCTAAAGACTTTATAATTTATTGTTTTAAAAATAATAATTAAAATACGATAGATGCGGTAAAAAGATTTTTTTCTAAATATTAAATTTCACGCTTAAAACTACAAAATTTATAACATCCACAACACTAATTTCAGAAATTACAAAAATCTTTTATAAATGAATAAATATCACTATAAATTAATAAAAATATCATGGTTCTAATATTATTAATTTATAGAGGTTTTACTGTACCTCTTTTCGAAAATATTTATTGATGTCTATGGCGGCTTTCGGTGGTTGGACCGCCAAATCATCTTTATAAAACCCTTATAAAATCTTAATAAGTTTTTTATAAAACCTTATAAAAGGGGCATGATTTAAAATAAACAAAATATGAAACATTTTTGAAAAGGATTATTGTAAAACGGGTATTTTTAAAATCCCCCCTATATTTTAAGTTTTTATTAATCGTTAATTTCAATTTCAAAACTTAATTGGTAATCTATACATATAGTGATATTATTCTTTTCTATTCAAATTAAATTAATTATTAAAGCAGAATTAAAAATCTAAAAACTGAAATGTGAATTCAAAACAAAAGAGTTTACCTAAATTTTGGAAACCAATTTTCTATCAACTTGGGTAGGTGATTCATGAGTTGAAAATTAAGATAAAAATCTAAACCATTTATATATAAAAAAAACTACACCAAGTCATTTTTTGAAACGGAGTACTTCCCAAATAATATTAGTAAAAATTACAAATGTCTATTTTTATAATCTTACTTAAAATGGTTAAATATTTATAAAATATTCAGCATTGTTTAAAATTAAATAATGATTTGAAATTTAACAAAAGTCATATTCTATATTCTATTAATCTATTTATACATTTTTGGAGTACACTTAGCAAATAAATCCTAGAGTTGCTAAGTATTTACAAAGAATGTCATTGGCATTTATTATTTACTTTTACAAAATTTAAATAAAAGATATTAACCAAACAATATTTTGCCTAATTTGTTTCTAAAAATCTCTACACAATCTTTCCATATATCTTCAAACAATAATTATAGCAAATATTTATATTAACATTTTGCATAGTAATAAAAATACTAATTTATAATAATCAAAATATTCACATAGAAAAATCATATACACATACAAGAAAAAAACTATATATGTCATCATTTAAGCTGTTGCTTTATTTAAATAATAAACAAAAAAACACAAAAACCTGAAATCGTATATTTTATATGATAAATTTAAAATACATATTAGTAGTATAAATTTAAAATCATTCAAAGAACGGTATACCACGGGTGAGATCCTAAAATTATTGGATTTTATTACAATAATAATTTATTTTATTGGATTTTATAACACTAATAATTTAGCTAACGGGATAATATAGACGGGTTTATATGGAATGACGTGTTTGGATCGATATTAATAAATAACGGTATATCACGGATGAAATCCTAAAATTAACAATCAAAATAAAATTACACAATCTTAAACACGAAACAAAAGAAACAATATTAACAAAACAAATACAACTTAAAAAAATTAGTTATAAAAAAACCGACCCACGGTATACTTCGGAGTCAAATATTCAAAATTTTAAAATCCACCATACCATCGTTACTTAAAAAATGTATGTTTTCGTATCTATACTTTAAAAATTGAAACCAAAACAATAGTAATCATACACTAAATAATACATAGATAAATATCTATATTTAAAAATACAAATTAATATGATATATCTTCAGTTAAACTTTAAAAATAACATTATTTTTTTTTTAAATATAGCCCCGCGGTGTACCGCGGGTTAAATTCTAGTATATTATTATAGAAAAATCTTAAATTATTATATGCTAATGATGTGGATGATATTTGTTTCAATATAAATATGATTGCAATTTTTTTAAAAGACTCTTAAGATTTGATATCTTGCATTTGCTCATATTTTAGTGTTGTTTTTTATTTTACTATTATTTATGTATGTAAACATCAATAAACATATGTTATCTATTACTTTTACAAAATAAATTGTTGATATAAACTCACAGATAATTTGTTTGTTTGTTGATATAAATTCCCACATAATAGTTCAAATTCATATTATTTTGCAAGTGACAAACTAAATTTATTTTTCTTATAAAAATTATATGAACTTCAATCTAATTAAAATCATCAAAGATCCTAGATTTTTTTAAAAAAAATTTCACTCTTCAATTTAAATTATAGTCCTAGATTTTATACTAATGGTTTTATCTTTATATGATTTAATAAAATGATTTTTGTTTTCATTATAATTATTGTTTTGTATATTTCACTCTATTTAAGTATGAGTGTTAGGTTTCACTTTAATGATTTCATTCTAATTTTCTATTCTACCTAAATTTAATTTTCTTGAACCATATGATTCCTTTTTTCAATCTTAAGAACCAAATGTTTTTAAACAAAATTCTTTTTACTTTGAAAAATACTTAAACCTCAAATTTTAAATAAAATAAAAGTATAACGATTTTTATATAATTATCTATTGGATCACAAAAAGTAAATATAATAATACATATATTAAAAATAAATTACAATATTTATTCGAGATAAGAAAAAGGTAAGAAATATATATTTAATAAATGTATTACAAAAAAAAAAAGTTACATGTATATATTAGAAAATAATCAAACATCTAAAGTAGAAATGGAAATTGATTTTTTCAACTTCATTATCTTGTTGTGCAATGATTGGAATTGCTATATTTAACTCACCATCACCAATAAACCTGAAAATTTTGTTATAACCATCAAAACTTTTAGTATACATATGTGAATTTAAACTTAAGAATATGAAAATTAAAGAATAAATAAGTATATTTTAGTATAGCTTTAGAAATATACAAAAATGAATACAATGTTAGATATATATAATACATTCTAAAATATATTTAGAATAGAATTCTTGATTTTTAATCCATATAACAACATAAAAAATAGACACATAAATATAGTAGAAGAAGATGAGAGAATGATTACTTATAAGATGATTATCTAAAATAGACAATGAAGATGCATCTTTCAAAAAAAAAAAAATCTAATGTAAGAATACAAAACAAAAAAATATTTAAGATTTAAGATATAGGGGAAGGGTGAGAGGATGGGAGGATGAGAGAATGAGAAATGAGTATTTATAGGATGAAAAATTAGATAAGTTACAATTTAAATAAATAAATTATGGGAGTTACAATTCCAATTTATTGTGTGTTGAATACAATTGAGAGGAAAAATATAATTAATGTATAATTTTAATGATTTCAGTTTTTATATTAAAGTGTGAGTTAAATGTGTTTTAATTATGATTTAGTTAAAAATAAAAAAATTTAAGTTACATTTCTAAATGGACCAATAAGAAGAGAGTGAAACCCTACTTTTATATGTATGATTTAAATTATAATCGGTCAACCCTTATTTATATTTCCTCAAATTTGTGATCAAAGAAAAAATTCTGAGCAAACGCCCATCAAACATTTAACCGAATTCTCAAAGCAGACAATCTCTAATCATCCTTTATACCGACCGTGAAGAAGACAAGAACATGAAGGTATGTATCTGTGTACTCAACAAGTAATAACTTCGATTCTCTTGTGAAAGAAAGAGACTTCTCTTGTGATGTTAAAAAGTTTTCTTATTGCCTGCAGCAAAAGATCCTGCTAAGAGTTGCTATGACTGATGACAAAACTAGAGCAAAAGCAATGAAAACTGCGGTTCAGTTTAAAGGTAACAACGATGCAAACCCTAGAGAACATGATGATTGTATTTCTTGCTGATATCTAAAGATTTAGTGCATTTGTTTATAGGCGTGAACGCTGTGGAAATAAAGGGAGATCACAGGAACCAGATTGAGGTGACCGGTGTTGAAGTTGATATGATCGCTCTAATCAACACACTCAGGAAAAAAGTTGCATTTGCAGAGCTTGTTAGCGTAACTAAAGTTGAACCACCCAAGCATGAGTATGAGGAAATAAGAACATGATATCTTGGCCATGATCAATGTATCACAACAAAAGAAAGCAACTAATGTTTTGTAAATTAGAGATGATAAATGAAAAATTCTTTTCTTTGCTTTATTGTTATGTAACGTTTGTGTTTATATTTATCT